ACGCCTCCCTGCTTGCCCTCGCACCAGTCGACTGGAGTCCTCCCGTCACCCCGCCGGCGCCGCCACCACCTGCACTGCCGCCGATCTTGCTGCCGCCCTCGCCACCGCCGCCCTCGCACCCTCCCTCCCCGCCGCCGCCGCTGCAGCCGCCCTCGTCGCCGCCGCCCGCCCCTTCGCCCTCGCCGCCGCCGCCCTCGCATCCGCCCTCGCCTCCGCCCTCGCCTCCGCCCTCGCCTCCGCCCTCCCCTCCACCCTCGCCGCCGCCGCCTTCCGGCATGCCGCCGCTCTCGCCCTCGCCTCCCGTCACCCCGCCGCCGCCGCCACCACCTGCACTGCCGCCGATCTTGCTGCCGCCCTCGCCACCGCCGCCCTCGCACCCTCCCTCCCCGCCGCCGCCGCTGCAGCCGCCCTCGTCGCCGCCGCCCGCCCCTTCGCCCTCGCCGCCGCCGCCCTCGCATCCGCCCTCGCCTCCGCCCTCGCCTCCGCCCTCGCCTCCGCCCTCCCCTCCACCCTCGCCGCCGCCGCCTTCCGGCATGCCGCCGCTCTCGCCCTCGCCTCCCGCCACCCCGCCGCCGCCACCACCACTGCCGCCGCCCTCACCGCCGCTGCCTCTGGAGCCTTGCCTCGTGCTTGAGCCCACCCCAGACAAACGCTTTTGCCACGACGAGGAGATATTCGGGGGCTGGGTAAGCGGCGCCTCCTCCGACGAGATCAGAGAAGAGTGTCACCGCATGTGCCACACCGACCCCGCCTGCAACTACCTCTCGTTCTGGGAGCCGGAGGATCCGTGCAAGCACAATCTCTACCACGAGGGGAAGCAATGGTGCCGCCTCACCGCAACGTGCCACGACTTCTGGCCGTCCGACGTGCTATACGATATCTATGTGATACCGATGACGGCAAGGCTCTGCCCGTCACCACAACCAAGCCCGCCGACGCCCTGCGCATCGCCACCGAGTCTGCCGAGCCAGACGCCGCCGCCGCCAGGGCCACCATCGCCACAGCCGATCTCGCACCCTCCCTCCACGCCGCCGCAGCTGCCGCCGCCCTCACCGCCGCCGTCGCCACCGCCGCCAACGCACCTTCCCTCCCCGCCGCCGCCGCTGCAGACGCCCTCGCCGCCGCCGCCCGCCCCTCCGCCCTCGCAGCCTCCGCCCACGCCTCCGCCCTTGCCGCCGCCGCCTTCCGGCATACCGCCGTTCTCGCACTCGCCTCCCGTCACCCCGCCGCCGCCACCACCACCTGCACTGCCGCCGCGCTCACCGCCGCCATCGCCACCGCCGCCATTGCACCCTCCCTCCCCGCTACCGCCGCTGCCGCCGCCCTCGCCGCCGCCGCCCTCCCCTCCGCCCTTGCCTCCCCCCTCGCCTCCGCCCTCGCCTCCGCCCTCGCCTCCGCCGCCTTCCGGCATGCCGCCGCTCTCGCCCTCGCCTCCCGTCACCCCGCCGCCGCCGCCGCCACCAGCACCGCCGCCGCCCTCGCCGCCGCCCTCGCCACCGCCGCCCTCGCACCCTCCCTCCCCGCCGCCGCCGCTGCAGCCGCCCTCGCCGCCGCCGCCGCTGCAGCCGCCCTCGCTACCTCCGCCCTCGCCTACGCCCTCCCCTCCGCCCTCGCCTGCGCCGCCTTCCGGCATGCCGCCGAGCTCGACCTCGCCTCCCGTCACCACGCCGCCGCCGCCGCCACCAGCACCGCCGCCGCCCTCACCGCCGCCCTCGCCACCGCCGCCCTCGCACCCTCCCTCCCCGCCGCAGCCGCTGCAGCCGCCCTCGCCGCCGCCGCCCTCGCCACCTCCGCCCTCGCCACCTCCGCCCTCGCCTCCGCCCTCGCCTCCGCCCTCGCCTCCACCCTCGCCGCCGCCGCCTTCCGGCATGCCGCCGCTCTCGCCCTCGCCTCCCGTCACCCCGCCGCCGCCGCCGCCACCAGCACCGCCGCCGCCCTCACCGCCGCCCTGGCCACCGCCACCGCCGCCCTCGCGGGC